TTCATTAGGCCCTGAACCTTAAGTCATGGTTCGTTAATTTTTAGTGTTTTGCATGTTTACATGTTATTCCATTATGATTTTAACATTTCCATTATACTTTCAAATTGCTCAACGGCGATATAGATCTCTGTGTCAATTGTTTATTTGAAATTTGAAATAGTAATATGTTTCACCTGTATGATATACTTGATCAATTTTCGGATATGGACCAGTGTTTTATAAGTTATTTGCAAATTACCTCAGCGTTCTACCAATTAAAAAGTTCATGGCTGAAGAAATAGCAAGATGAACCAAAGTGATGCCATCCTAATGGGCATTCAGTGCTTCCTTTATCTGAAAGTATATTTTCAACTCAATGTCTTATCACTCTACAGTAAACATAATTACAAACATGTAAGGAATAGTAGGTAATAGATAACCAGTTATTTGGATTTGTTTAGACATTATATTTTAGATAATTGTAATTAAAATAAATTGTGGGTTTTAAGAATCAAGCTTATCCTTGAATTAAGCATTTTAATGTTTGTGTTACTACATGTATCTATGTATCTAAAGATATACCTACATAATTGAGAATGCTCTATTTAATTCGTTTATTTGTTGTATGCAATATAATAAGTTAAGAAGAAAACTTCATAAATTGTTTGAACTTAACACATATTTGTGTTATAAAATCAATCAAAAACAGTTATTTATTGGCTCACTATCTTTATTTGTGTACAGATATAATATACTTTAACATTGAGTTGTATGACTTGGAACATTTCCTTCACTTATGTTTCCAACCTTCGCTATACAAAGCAATCACTGAATAACGAAAGTCATATAGTCTAAAGTTCAGGTATTGGTAACCTTTATCCCAAATTGTAATGGTAGTGTTCAACTATTTTCAAACATCAAACAATTTCAAGTTTACCTGAATTGCGATTTTCAAGACATTTACAGTTCCCTTCCCTCCGCCATGTGTTTATAGAATTCGCATTAAGTAATCTTAATCCCTTTCAGTGCAACTTCTTTTGATTTTGTTATTACACCTTAGGTATCTTCTCCCTACTTTCAGATATCTATATTCATAAACAACGTATTTTGAAAGATTTATATTTCATGAATTGGTCATAGATAGATATAAAAAGATGTGGTCTACATTTTGTGATTTTAAACTTTGTTCAAAATTAACACCCGTCTTAGATTTCAGATTTGTATCAGACTCACTAGTTTTACAACCATTCCCTCACAAAAGGGTTGTATTTAAAGAAAGCGTAATCGAATTAAAATAAAATCATAAAAAAATCCAAATATTATTACTATTAAAACTGAGACTGGAAATTGGGAATGTGTCAAGGAGAGATAACAAAATTAAACTAATCAAAGAGTAAAAAACAGCCGAAGGCCACTATTCCTCCTTAACATTAAGATGTACTAGTTCAATGAAAAGAAACGTGACACCAAACTCCAAAACATATGAATTAACTTAAATAAAAAAAAAAAAAAAAAAAAATTACAAGACTAACAAAGGTCACACAAAAATGAACATTCATACCAGGAAAAGTCAGTAAAAACAGCAGATTCAATACCGAAAACGAGTTCAGATACGTGATTCCCATAATATCTAAATTCTTATCTGTACTACCGTTAATTTCAAAGTGATTCAAATGCCTTATCAAAATTATAATCATTAACTGGTATTGACCATTTGGCCAACCAGTAAACGATAGTCTGGACGTCCAGTGCGTGAAATAGTGTCATATTCAATTACCTAAACAAGGTGTCTCGGTGGCCGAGTGGTCTAAGTAGTAACTAGTAACTACTGTAATCACTAGCCAGTTTTCCTATCGAAAGTCGGTGGTTTCCTCAGGGCACTCCGGCTTCCTCCGCCAACAAAATATGGCCACCACGAAATAGCCCGAAAGCGGTGCTTAAAAGTGGCGTTAAAACACCAAAAATCAAAATCAAATCAATAACTTGTACACACACATTTGAATATGACATTATCTTTTAAGGGATTTAGACCCTAAATTTCTTAAATAGAAATCTCAAATCTTCAAAATGACCAATGATCAACATTGCTATCCCCGTGCTCAATGTAGCAGCAGTGTATTGTGTTCCTGGTCGTAGTACGTACGTTCCCATGGACGTCTGTTTGTAGTGTACTTGATAAAATCCTAAAACAGGAATCATAGAAATAAGAAAATTTCACTACGTTAACACCATGTAGATTGTGTCGTACTTTTCGGAAACACTTTTTTTTCTTATAAATAAAGAGAGACTTATTCAAAAACGAATTTCGTGACTTTAGTCAATCTGTTTAAACTTTATTAAAATAAGAAGATATATGATTGGTTTGATTGTCAATGGGACAATCATCTATCTAACAGAGATAAATGGACGATGATTTTAACAACTGAAGGATGCCATACGGGCTTCAAAAATGAGCTTTGTTGTAGTGATTAAGATCATAATAACACAACGTTGACTGCTGAACCCCTGTTTTTTACATTTTTACTTATTGCGTCTGTATGTTTTGTCCACACATCGTTGTCAATATAATGGAATTTTATACGATTGACATACAAGTGAGGGGTTTATCAAGCTATAAAACCAGGTTTGATCAACCATTTTCTACATAAGAAAATGCCTGTACCAAATCAGGAATATGACAGTTGTTGTCAATTCGTTTGATGTGTTTGAGTTATGATTTTGCCATTTGATTAGGGACTTTCCGGTTTAAATTTTACTCGGAGTTCAGTATTTTTGTGATTTAACTTTTTACAGATACCGTTACAATTCAAAAGAGGAAATCAACGGCCTGCATGATTCATCTTGTCAGAATATAATTCAGAAACTTGAAAACTGAACAAAACTCTCACACAGCATTTGTATCCATGTTTTTTTCTTTTTGTTTCCATTTTAAAAAACAATACGAATCATTAGTGCAAAATTAAAGCCAAGAAGACCATGAATATTGATAATAAAAACTAAACTGAGGCGAAAGAATAAGTAACCATTTGCTGATCCGATGAAATATATTCATAAGGGACTGAAAAAAACAAAAGATTTTAAAGCATCTTGTCATACTACATGTTTTAAAAGAGGTAATAGTAAATAAAATTGAGAATGGAAATGGGGAATGTGTCAAAGAGACAACAACCCGACCATAGAACAGACAACATCAGAAGGTCACCAACAGGTCTTCAATGCAGCGAGAAATTCCCGCACCCGGAGGCGTCCTTCAGCTGGCCCCTAAACAAATATATATACTAGTTCAGTGATAATGAACGCCATACTAAACTCCAAATTGTACACAAGAAACTAAAATTAAAAATAATACAAGACTGACAAAGGCTAGAGGCTCCTGACTTGGGACAGGCGCAAAAATGCGGCGGGGTTAAACATGTTTATGAGATCTCAACCCTCCCCCTATACCTCTAGCCAATGTAGAAAAGTAAACGCATAACAATACGCACATTGAAATTCAGTTCAAAAGAAGTCCGAGTCTGATGTCAGAAGATGTAACCAAAGAAAATAAACAAAATGACAATAATACATAAATAACAACAGACTACTAGCAGTTAACTGACATGCCAGCTCCAGACTTCAATTAAACTGATTGAAAGATTATGTCTTCATCATATGAATATCAGGCACAATCCTTCCCGTTAGGGGTTTAGTATCATACCATCATAACATATATGAGAAAAACATAACCCGTGTCATGCCAACAACTGGTTTTTAAATAAATGTGTTTAGTGCCGATGCAAAGACCCTATAAGTGAATCAATATTAACGCCAAAATATGCAATCTTTAATGACCTGACAACAGTATCGTAACTATATCCCTTCTTAATAAGTCTATTTAAAGGTCTTGTTAGCTTCAGAGGTGAATACTGACATTTTTGTGCTTTATAAAGAATATTTCCATAAAAAATTGGATGTGAAATACCTGAACGTATAAGAAGTCTGCATGTTGAGCTATATTTACGAATGATGTCCTTATACCGATGATAAAATTTAGTAAATGTTTTGACTAGTTTGTGATATCGAAAACCCTGGTGTAATAATTTTTCAGTAATACATAAATTTCTCTCGTTAAAATCTAAAACATTGTTACATACACGAGCGAATCGTACAAGTTGAGATATATAAACACCGTAAGATGGTGACAAGGGAACGTCACCATCTAAAAATGGATAATTAACGATAGGAAATGAAAAATCATCTCTTTTATCAGATATTTTAGTATTAAGCTTTCCGTTAATGATATAGATATCAAGATCGAGGAAAGTTTACCTATGTTCCAAACTTTTGAATCAATTTTGAATACTGTAAACCAACTTCTTTTCGCAAGCAATTTATGTTTTCGAATTTTACGATTAGAAATACACCGCCATAAAAATCGTCGCGAACATGTTAAATGTCGATCTTCTCTTATATTAATACATCAATGAAATTAGAACACGGCGAAAATTAATCGCCGAGAAGTCGAATAGAAACGCCTAATGCGAAATAACGTATCCGCTAAAATAAATTGGTTTACAGTATACAAATTTAAAAGATTAGCACCTGATGGAATCTAATAAACTCCAAACCATCCAAGACCGCTTGCAAACATTATTTTCACCATATGGAGTAGAAGTATTTAAAATATTTACTGCACAAGTGTCACATTTCGCGCGGAATCTTCTTGCCCTTCCGGTGCACCTGAGATAACCCCAAATATTTGGTGGGGTTCGTGTTGCTCAGTCTTTGGTTTTTTATGTAGTGTTTTGTGTACAATTGTTTGTCTTGAGGTCTTGTGTTTAAGCCATGGCATTGTCAGTTAAATTTCGACTTATGAATTTGAATGTCCTATCTTTTACGGACCAGACAACTGTTTTGCGTCATTTAAGTCTAAGACCGCCAAAACATGTCTTTTGTGTGACACAGACCCATCATCTTAATTTTTTTTTTACCATTCAGCCAAATAAGAATAAACACATTTTATTCAAAGATATCAGAATTTATTAAGTTAAAGTATACATGGTATATAAAATAAAGGATGATAACACAGTTTTTCAATAAGATTTAAATATCAAATGAACTGACTCGAACGTTTAATTTATTTTGAATGATTAGAAGACAATTGTGAATTTAATGCAGATCGCCCCCGAGGTATATGCAGTATTTCTTTGGATTAAGAATATAAGTTTGATTAACTATTGGTCCAATAAAATTTAAAAGCAAAACAAGTTGTTTTCACATTGATATTTGTTTATCCTATTATTTCAGAACCATCTCCAGAATACCTACAAAAGAAAAGTTAACATTTCACCAAAATAGATAATCAAGAATTAAATTCAAAGTAGTTTTTACCTGTTCCTTTTATCAACGAAGTAGTTTTATTTGTTGTACTTTCGATATTGCATAATCAGCTCAAGTTCGTCAGATTGTTGTGTAAGTTTTACAGCCCATAACATAAGTAAAATGATAAAGACATATTACACGCTTCATATTTGCTGTATGTCTTATATTTGTATTTTTCATTAAAGCATTCAACGGCAACATAAAAAGAATTAGATACTTTATCCTAGATCTAACTTATGTTATACCACTGAACAACGTAACCTAATTAAGCTGATCAGTCAATGTATTTACAGACTTCTTAGAATCTAAAACATGTGTGCATCATTTATGAATTCAAATCATTTCCTACTCACAAAAACTCAAACCGTAACGTGATCGAATTATTTTATATAATCTATATAGGAAAAATTAAGCAACAAGCGTGAAAAACCAAAACAGAATATAGATATCAGTAAACTGTGTACAGACTCTTTTCCACAAAGAAGTGTGTTTCTATGTTTACATAGGACATCATTCCATTTCAAACCTTCTGGAAGGAACTGTTTACCAGTATAGATTACAAGAGATCACCAATGGTTTTTGCATGTTGCATTTAGCTGTATCTTAAGATTTGGTGATGGTAAATTGACAACTTAAAAAACATTTTTTGTTCTCCTACTTAATTAAAGCAATGTCATGCTTTAGACACAATAAGATGAGAAAAATATATACTTACTCTTGTTCACAGATAAATCTGTATAGTCCGGTACATGAGGCGTCGTTCCATTTCAAACTATATGCAGCATACATATGTAAGCAGTTCTCGTTTCTGCCCTTGTTGTCTGGTACATTTGGATACCAGTCAGTAAAATTGAACAGCTGGTCTGTTTGAGCCCACGTCCACATTCCTTCTACGACATCATCTCTACCTCCCAACCAATAGCTTTGACCTACATTTGTATAGTTAAGAATAATTACACATAGAGACTTGCAAAGAAGCAAAGTGCATACATTGAAAAAGTAACTTTCATTAGTATTCGTTAATACATATGAAGTTTCAGAAATTGATATTTTTGATTTAATATGTAATTCTAGTTTTGCATATAACATCAATATGATTAGTCAAAAACTGGAATATTCCTTAAAGATTTGCAAATATTAAGTAATTTGCAAATAAACTGGAATACCCCTGAAAGATGAGAACATATTAGGTAATGTCTCAAAAACTACATGAAGCTTTAATATATAATAATATAAGCTTTCTCAAGATCCCTTTACGGAGCAATCCAGAACCAGAGGCAAAAGAAAGGCAACAGTAGTATTCCGGAGTTCAAAAGTCATTATTCGATTGAGAGAAAACAAATCCGGGTTACATCCTAAAACCGAGGGAAACACATCAAATATCTTTGACATAAGCAATGTTTATAGCTCCAAATTCAATAATTATCACAAGTTTTTTCTGCAAAAGCGCCAACTCTACTAAGAGAATATCAAGTGAAATAAAATAATTGGAGTAAACGAGATTGTGATTCATTTATCCTTGTAACGTCAGGGGTTCAGATCAACAGTTTTAAATAAGGCACCAATGCGATAATCAATTTTCGTTGCAGTTAAAAAACAAATATATCTTGAAGTAGATACCGGTAATACTTTGGGGAACGATGGTCGTAGCGACAAGTACGGTGGACAAAAGTTGTATCACGACGGTAAGGAAAAATTGAATAATTTCAAAATCATATTTGGTGTACATAATTCACTTTTTCATTCTTACACCAAAGGCTCTGTGAAAATCGACCATCTGCATTAGTTTCATCCTATCATACTGATAGCGTTTTCTCCGGTCGACAAAGAAAATCAAAAGACATCCGGCAAAATATCACTGACTAAAATTGATATCAACGCTTATATCCAGATCAATGTCAATCACTAATTAGGCATCGCATCTAATATTTCCTTTATTATCAATTATTTATGTAATGGTTTAATTGTTGCTTCGATACTAGAGTTCAACATACCAGGATTAAAACAACGAAATGAAGAAACTATTTAAGTGTTAATTTACTGAAAGATACAGTTTCAGATCTGAATAATAAAGAACAATGTTACAGTTTCATAAACTATCCATTTGATCATTAATCTTTTGCTGAGTATCGAGTGAGCCCGTTGGGAGACGCTGGGGATATAATAACGAGAAGCGACTGATTATGGACTTGTCCGCATCGGACATCAATAAAACCGTGAACTTAGTAGTATCTCCTTCATCTCCAAGCATAATAACAAAGTAAAAGATAGTCTGCCTTTACTGAAAGCCTTCCTTAATATTGATACACAAAAAGTTGATGTGAAGGGAAAATAACCATACTATTCAACCGGGTTCAACTCACGGCAAATAAATCAAAGTGTCTTTTAATCTGCATCAAACATATTGGTAAAATGGTATACACAGGTTAATCGGAGGCTATATTACTTTTGAACAAAATAGAACAAATTTGCCGATTTATCAATTCCATGTTTCAAAGGTCAACATATAGAAACAAATAAAAATTGCTATGGGTTTTACTTTCCTTTCCCCTTTATTTTTCTGTAATCGGCTTAACGTTTGTATTCGGTTTTGGGCATTATTTTGGCATATCTAGAGGTTTATCCGAGAGTAGTAGCTGCTCGTTAGATTGGATAGCAAAAAATAGAAATACAAGACTATTTTCTGTCTTTGTTGCAATGAAGCTAACGCAAATTGTGAAAAGGAGGGATCAAAATGTATTGAAATAATGCGACGGTTTACATGGTGCGCATGTGCAAATAACTGTCGGTATACTAGAAAAAAATAACATTAGTGACACTTTAAATAGTTCACAAAAGAAAACAAAACTAATTTTATTTGCAGACAGGATATCCTTATCCTTTAGTCATGTCTTTGTATGATTTTTTTCTCCAAAACTCGCTATGGTTCTAAAATATTTTTATCGCAAACAAGATTCACAAATTAGATGAAGATTGCTATTTACTTTTCCCATTTTTCATCAAAGTTTCCTTAGACATTTCAACTCGTTTTTATAGTAATGTTGTGCTCAGTCAGAACTATGTTGTGTACCTACGAATTGAAGGGTGCAACTGCTTTGAAATTTGCTCGTCGTGATTGCTTATAATCTTTTTAGGCAGGTCCCGGCCAACATGTAAGCATGGCTGAGATGATTCCTAGGGGCAAGAACACAATTGTATCGAAATAATAGAATCCATAACATATGATAATTCAATACAAATTTTATTTATTAGTAACAAAACCTTGTAAATATATATGCCCGTATGATAAATTAGTTGCTTGATTAATGGTACTACGAGATATTTGCATCATGTTGTGAATAAGACATATTAATAACTTTCTCAGTTTTGATCAATGATAGTACATCGTGCATTTGGTATGGTTGTCCCTTACCTAATTTTAGAGTATTGAATGCATATAAACTCTATTGGATACTCGTGGTCGTTCACCTCTGGAATTTTGGGATGATTGACATGAGTAAACATACTATTAATACAATAAGCAATTGCTTATTCATATTTAACATGTTTAATTAATAAAGCCAGTGATTGCCTTTTGAATAAAGAATAGTCTATGCAATTATCTTTCCTTTTGAAAGAAAAAAAAAACAATATAAAATTGAGAATGGAAATAGGGAATATGTCAAAGAGACAACGACCCGTCCAAAGAGCAGACAATATGTTTGTTGTTTTTGACAATCGAAAGTCATATCAAAATATTGCATTATTCTCAAATATTTTATATGAAGTGTATTTTTGTTTGAAAGACACGAACAGTGTTAAATATTCAAATTTTGGATTTTGTATTGATTCTGTCAACTAGCGAGGCCCCTCATTTGGGTGTGTCATTAATCATATAATCACATTTCTTTTTGTCAATATAATCACATACACATTATTAATTTTTTAACGATATAATCAAATAATCAAAAATACAGTCCAAGATTATCAAATAGTCAAATGATCAGCAAATATTTGGTCCATATAGCTACAAATTTAGTAATCAAATAAACACTATTTAAACGGCCAAATAATCACATAATCAAACCCCATGAGGAGGTTCACTAGCTACATTGTACATATTTCGATTTTCTTTACATACCTGGTCCTAGAGTTTTACCCATGTTTACTAAAAAGGTCGCCTGTTCTTTTGACTGAACTTCAGCAAGGCGGGCGTTGTGTGCACTACAACTGAACTAAATAGAAAAGGATGTATGATTACCCCCAAGTTTTTGTATATTAAAATCGAAATGAAGTCAAATAAAGCTAATAATAGAATTATTGAAAATTATGATTATAATAAATTTATGGAAAAGATATGTAAGATTGCAAATGAGATTATCCACGAGAAACCATAGGAGAGTATAAGGCATGTATCGGTAAACTACAGGCCAGTCTGGTCGCTAGCAATTTCCCGTTTTATAAACTGCATTTTACCATCTACAACGTTCTGATTGGCACACAACCTTCATACAATGTAGCAAAGGATGTTTTACCAATTGAATAACATAACTTTGATTCTGTGGTTCAAGGTATGGACAGCCGTCAGAGAAAAGCATTACCTCGTGCAAAGCCAACAAAAAGTACATCATATCGATATAAGTTTCATAAAAGTAAAACAAAATAATATTTTAGTTATTTTTTTTAATTTATCAAAAACGAAATCACTGTTAGAACCGATTAAAAAGTATATCTTTAAGAATACGTTTATTGAAAGGATCAATGAGTTGAAATTTATCGTATTTAAATTTTCAGGCTTTATAACCAACATCACCTTAAATTTCAGGATGTGATTTCCCATTTTAGTAATAATTCTACTGGTACAGCAAAACTTCAAAACAAAATCTTTGTATCCATGAAATGATTTAGTAAATGAGTTATTCAATGTATGGAAATGAAATCCCTCACTTATTTTTTTACCAGTTATACATAGATTCAACTTATTGAAATCATAACATCACTATAGAACGAGCAAAGAGAACGAGTTTGGAAACATACATGTCCATACCATAAGAATGGGCGAAAAACATCATCGCCCAAAAAAATAAAAATAAAAAATGGTGAACTAGAAAAACGTCTCTTTTGTCGTAAAATTTTGTTTTGTTTGTAATGATTCTCCCTTGTGGAACTGAAATATCCTCTCTCGAAAAGAACAGTTGTTGCTGTTAGATGTTTTTTAAATTAGTTCCGTTGCAAATATGTGCAGTGTAATTAAGATTTGTTTTTATTGTTTACAGCATATACATCGAGTTTACGATTATTGTTTTTGAATTGATCAATTAAATGGAATTTATAATAATCGTACTTTAATAGCTTTGCAATAAACTGTGATTCAAATAAGATCTGATATTAAAGGGGGCGCAATTGGTGCTCATAGAAATACCTTATACCTGTTGATAAAAATTATTGCCAAAACGTACATAAATGGTGTCAAGTAAAAAATAAAATGAAGCTGCTATTTTTTTTTAATTTTGATATCTAACTTACTAATAAGTGTACACCATGAAATAGATAGTTAATCTTGTTATAATGCCTGATCGTGAACAAAATTTGACTGTTCATTTGCAATTGCATGCATGCAGATTTTGGAGTTATGTCAATTTTCGTATTTTTCATATTGCATTAAATTTAATTTATATCGACCATAACCATGGGTAATAGTAAAAAGCATGGGTAGTTATATTTATAACTTTGCATTATGAACAAATTATCGGAAATAAATATGAGTTGGTTTTCCACTCATTAATCACTTTTTATATCATGTTCTTATCTCTAGTAATACGTTTACCTCAGCTTGAAACCAATTACAACGTTCATGGCTGAAGAAATAGCAAGATGATCCCAAATGATGCCACCCTGTTGCACATTCAGTGTTTCCATTATCTAAAATATAATTAAGAATTGAAATGGGGAATGTGTCAAAGAGACAACAGGCCAACCAAAGTGCAGAAAACAGCCAAAAGGCCACCAATGGGTCTTCAACACAGGCGGGCTTCAGCTTGCACCAAAACAAAAATGTATACTAGTTCAGTGAAACTGCACGTCACACTAAAAATATTTTTAACCTTGTTTTAAAACTGTTACGTGGCTCCTTTACACAAGAATAAAAGCAACGGACAATCGATTAGATTTATTAGGGTTGAATTTACGTTTAAAATAAATATACATGAAATAAATTTTGAAAATATAGAAACTGTTCTTGATCTTTGACAAATATTGACCGTTAATGGTCACTATTCAGGGTTAAAGATAAACCTACACAAGTACACATTGGTCTATCTAAATTGTATGTTGATTGCAATTGTCAGTACTTCGGAACTGGCATGATTTATAACTAACCTTTCATAAAATGTCCGTTTATAAATTTTGAAATTATAAAGAAACTAAGGTTTCAACTTCCTCAGGCAAAGTTGACCTTAGATGAATTTGACTATTTTGTAGTTTTTTTTCTATATAGCTCTTCAACTGTTTCGTTTCTTTTACATTCTCGGCTCTCTAATATTCGAATTAATTCCTGGTGAGGAATCAATAAAAGCGCATCGGACGCATGAAGTTGTTTGATGTGTTTTCATTTTTTTGTGGTATGTTTAAGAGAACACTTTCTTGGCCAATGATCTATACTCATGTATGGAAATACATTATTTTATGAGTATTTCTTATTGTTATCTTCAATAAAATTGGGTAATTTATTAAATCTCAAAAATATATATATTTTAATTATTCCGAGGTTGTATTATGACTATGACTATGAATTTTTACAGCCACCTTTGAATTAAAATGTATATCAAAATCATAAATTTTAGGAGATTTGATCTATTCATCGATCTATCGAGAGAAAAAAAAACCAATTATGTTAAACAATATTTATATTTTGAACATACATACCAGGCAAAATCAGCAAAATCAGCAGGTGAAATACTTGAAACAAGTTCACAATCATGACTCTCATTATATACGAAGTACTTATCTGTACCTCGGTTAATTTCAAAGTGATACAAAAGCCTTATCTTTATTTTAATCAGTTTATATTAGTCTGAAACTTTACACAGAAACATTTAGATATGGCAACATTTTCAGTATTGATTTAATCGCAAAAGTTCTCAAATCAAAATCGCAAAATTTTAAAATGTCCAATGATCAACATTGCTATCCCCTTGCTCCATGAGGTAGAGGTTGTATTGGACAATGTGTTCCGATAGGCGTCCGTACTGTACGTACGTATTAACTTCTGTTTGTAGTGTCCGTGATTATCTTCCTAACCTTGTATCTTAGAGTTTTTTTACTAAATGAACAATGTCAAAACCAGGTAGCTTTACATATTAAGCACATTCCTTCTCTGTACATGTATCATTGTTTTATCATTCAGATTAAATTTGTAGGTGCAAAAAGCCTTTCATTTTTCACGAAAACATCGACTAAATGTTCAATAACAATGTATGTGTTATATTAATAAATTCAATGTAGTAAACACTTACCTTTTCCAAATAAAGATGCTACTGGTAATACTTTACGATTTCAAAGAGGTAACAGTATAGTTTATCGTGGTTCTAAACTCGTGAATCCATTTTGAATATACACATAAAATTAAAGAAGATTTAACCCTGAGAGAATCGATCTCATGGACTCCAAATCAAACAAGTCTGGGTTCGTCGACAGCTATGCAATAATACATTTATTTTTACAGTAGCAAACAGGACCTGGGAATCTTAAGGTTGATAAAACAGGTGTTAATTAATAAAATATGTTTAAAATTAAAAAAAAAACAAAAAAAAAACAAGTCTATTAGGACCCCATTTTAAATAAGCTTGGTTGCTTTCGTGGGTCGTCCTTGTGTTAAGGCATTAGAAAAGGGGGACGAAAGATACCAGAGGGACAGTCAAACTCATAGATTGAAAATAAACTGACAACGCCATGGCTAAAAATAAAAAGACAAACAGACAAATAATAGTACAGAAGACACAACATAGAAAACTAAAGACTTAGCAACACGAACCCCAACAAAAACTGGGGTTGATCTCAGGTGCTCCGGAAGGGTAAGCAGATCCTGCTCCAAATGTGGCAGCCGTCGTGTTGCTTATGTTATTACAAATCCGGTAAATAGTCTAATTCGGTAGGTCACATTCGTGTAAAGGGAAGGGTATTGTAGTTACGACATAAGGAACATATCCGATATCATCTGTGAAACGGTTATTCCATAACGGTCAACCAACTCGTGATGGCGTCCGTAAAATTTACGAAGGGATGATTTCAACTTCACCATTTGGAACTCTTGGTTTAATAGCTTTCTTGTGAGCAGCAATCCTCTATCAAGGAAATCATGATAGGAAATACAAGCCGGAAATATCGTATCAATTGGGAGATATATACTCCGTATGCAGGCGCTGCTGGAATGTTGCTACATATAAATGGAAAGTTGACAATTGGGAAGCTGAAATCATCTCTTTTGTCGTAAAGTTTTGTTTTCAACAGACCCTCATTGTCAAATTCTAGATGTAAGTCAAGAAATGAGGCAGACTTATCTGTATCTGTAGTATCCTTTATCTCTAGTTCGATGGGATAGATTCGTTCAACATAGTCACCAAATTTTGTATTATTTAGTGAGAGAACATCATCTATATAGCGTAACGTAAAATTAAAGGATACTGCTTACTTCTTATCATAGAAGTACCTATGTCACAACCATTGCTATATTTTAAGGTTGTATTATATAATTAGGTCTTTCCACTTTTCCGTGGAAAGACCTATTGGTTTTGTTCTGATTATTATTATTAATTTTTTTTCTTCTGTCAAATTTTTTTCTTATGCTGTTTTTTTTTTTTTTGTTTCAAAAGATGTCGCTTAGTTTTTGTGTATATAATATCATACAGTCTATATTTGCTTTAAAAACCGACCCTGTTTAAACGAACACTTTTCTGTGTTAGAGTTATCTCCCCAACACTGTTTTTCTTGTAATGAGATCTCCTTCGCAACTGTAAAAGAAACCGACAAATTTATTTTTCCAAAATGCTCATTATATCCTCAGGATGTTACGTTTTTATTCTAACCTAAGCTATCTGGAGACTCCATATTATTTATGAGAGTTATTCCCCCTTATGCATTTGATATAACTAATATGCATTTCTAACTGGTAAACCTTAAGTGATAGAGACCTAGGGTCTTTTGATTTGAGGTCATTGGTCAAAAAAAAAGGAAATTAGGTCAATGTCAGAGGTCAGGGTCATATTTTAGAATTAGATTTTGGCTTCTTTTCAAAAACCGTATAAGATATCGACAACACTTTTTTTACTAAATTGTTAGTTGCGTCATGTCGTAACACATACATTTTAGTTGAAAAGGTACGCTTACATTAGATTGGAATTTTCTCCCCTCTTATATTTAAAATTACGCATATGGTGATATAACTCATTTACCATATATGATAAAGACCTAGTGTCTTTTAATTTGAGGTCCTTGGTTTATGACTTTCAAATTGAGCTCAAGGTCATAGGTAAATTTGACATTCTAGTTTTTGTCCTTTGCTTTTACTTCCTAAGTTTACATGATAAAGCCATGGGTCTTTTTGCATTAGGTTGCAAGCCATATGACCTTGGAAAAGCCAACCGGAAGTGACCTTGTGTAAACCGGAAGTAGTTTTTTTTTGTTCTTGTGTAATGTACAAGTATATAGGACAATATATTTTTGGAATCAGTGTCAAGTAAACTATCAAATAATACTTGAAGTGAAAATTTTCAAACCGGAAGTAACAAGTTCTCTCCCTTATTTAAAAAAAATGTCAAGAAACCATATATTTTTTACATCAGCGTATAATAAGCTATCATTTGACGCTAGAAATGACATTTTAAAGCTAATTTTAATATATTTGAATCAAAAAAGATATTTTCCGGTGGAAAGACATTATATTGTTCTCTGAACAATTGGTTTTTAATTGTATATATTGCCTTAACCTGAATAAATATTATTTTATTTTATTATAGAGGTTGTGGTACCATTAAAACAAAAACGAAATAACATATTTAAACATTTTATTCAAAAGTACAAACATTTCTTTTGCACATGGATAATGATAACAGGAGATTAATTTGTTTAAAGTAGATTGCCGCTCGTTGTATGAGCTGATATATGTTTTCTTTATCCAAAATACAAGTTTGATAAACTACTTTTCTAATATAATTTAAAAGCAAAACGACTTGTGTTTACATTGAATTTGCTTATCCTTTTATTTCAGAACTATCTCCAGGATACCTTCAAAAGAAAATTATAATATTAAACTAAAATATATGATTGATTGATTGATTGTTGGAAGAGAACGAATTAGTTATAAATACAGGTGTCCCGTAAAAAGTGTCTGGGATGAAGTTCTTGGAAATATAGATTAAATCTTGAAAATAGGGTACATTGGATAGGGTCATTATTTTGCCTAGCAACAGGCCACCTACAAACCACTACAAGAGTTTTTTCAGGGATTCTGAACTTACAAATAGCGGGACACTCTCTTTTACACGAGGCATCATATTTTACTCCGACATTCTGAGAAGGCTGGATCCCAACATATATGAAATAAAAATATAAATTAACAAATGAGCTACATGTTCCATCTTTTTTCAAGAATATGTTTTTATTTTTTGTACTTTCTGTATTGCATAATAAGCTCCAGTTCGTCAACTAGTGGTGAAAGTTTCGCAGCCAACAACATATGTTGAATATATATGATATATTACAAGTTACATGTTTGCACTATGTCCTATATTCGGATCTAGTTTTTAAAAGCAATCAAAGACTTCAAATTGAGTATAAGATGTATCCTAAATTGGTCGTTTTTGAATCTAAAGACTTCATTGTTCGTACCCCAAAATGAAAATAACGTCACGTC